CATCACTACATAAACGACGAAGTCTTAGAAACTGAGAAAAAGGAATGGAACTATTAGCGTGAGATGGATGCGAAGACGGATATAACAAGTAATTATGCGAGTCTGAAGGTCTGTAATACACACTAGTGCATAAACCGTTACCTTCAATTGAAACTTTGATGTCTAAAAAGGATAACGAATTGTCAGAAATTTCCTAGGTATATTTCAGAGCCGGCTCTGAAATATACCTGGGAAATTTACCTGGGGAATTTACCTGGGAAATATACCTGAGAGCTGCAAGGATCATCTTAGACGCAGAACCACGCTCGCGCACATTGTCTTTGTTCAACACGTTAAATTGGCTTCCCTTCTATCAAGAGGCTTACGTCAACAGATGCACATTAATTTTCAAGAGAACAGTCGACAATATACCGGAATACCTGAAATCACTGCTTCAACTGAATTCTGATGTTCACTCCAGAAATACCTGTTATAGCAATCTAAACCTACGCTGCCCAAAATACAACAACTCTACCGAAAAGGGACGAACATTCACAGTTTGATCCATCAAAGACTGGAATAATTTAGAGAAAACGCTCAGAAACTCTAAGGACACAAAAAGTTTCAAAAAGAGACTAATAAACACTCTTTTAAAAAGCCAGATAGAAACAAACAATTTCAGTTCTATTCACGTCTAGTTTTCAGGGTAAATCGCATTTTTACGAAACTTTTAGCCGCCAAAAGTCTTTATTTAAACTATTAGCTAAAGAAAATAATGCTTGCCGATCGGCATATGTTGTGCCGAGAAAAAAATTTTATAGTATTATGTACGCGCTGCGATCGATCGTGAAGACCCTGGAGTGGACTCCGAAATTCCCGAGACCAAACCAAGCACACTTTTACTTCTTTATCTTTCCTGGGGCGGCTTTGTATGTGGCTTTAGTTGACCTAATCCGTCGGTGGTCTACGCTAGAGAAAATGACGAAAACTCTGTCTGTGCTAATTCTGGTCGCCATAATTAACAAACGGTAAACACCACAGCGTGCACTATTGAGTTATGGATGCACGCGGGAGGTTGCTAAGCACGAAAGAAGCGTAAGAGTCGCTCGAGGCGATAGCCGAGAGCGACTCTAGCTTTTTGAGTGCTTAGCAAACCTCCCAAGTGCATCCATAACTCAATAGTGTACGCTGTGGTGTTTACCATTTGTTTTATAACATAACATTGATACATTGTAGCTAAAGAGTTCCCTTTTATTTAATAAATCTTACGTGACCAGAAAAAACAAGTGCGCGCGGAAAAATAGTCTTTGCATTTGCTCACGTCAGCAGCGTCCACCAATGGGCAAATAGGGGACGCTAAATTGACCAATCAGAGCGCGCGCTTTACTTTGGTTATGTTATACAGGTCGTTTTGCGTCGAAAAGACGCTTGAGCGCGTTGAAAAACCTTGCAAGGGTAAGTGAGAAAAAATCCCAGGAAAAACAAAATGATACGGAGGAAGGGGACATTGAGCCCCTTAGGAAAACAGTGACTAGGTCAAAACAGGTAAGTTCTTTTTTGACCAGTAAATTGTAACAAATAAAATTGAAGATATCGCCGTTTCTTTCGAAGAGTTCAGAAGTAATCATTCTCTATTCATAGCAAAGCAGAGAGGAAGAGGACGCTCAAATGTTATCAGACACACGAATTGTCAGCATGGAAGTGCTAAAAAATGACCTCAAGTCTTGTTTACATTATCAAGCAGGTGAGGAAAACTTTGTGGACTTTTTCAATTGTAAAAATAGGCCAAGGAATAAACTGTTAGCATAAATACTGAGTTCTGCATGTACAAAAGTTGTTGTACAAGTTGTTTTCCTTCTGCAATCATAATGAGGCTTTATTAACAATTACTGTATTAAATATTTACTGCTTGGAGAAAAACCGTTATACAGTCAGCTTCCTTACCAGAGTACACATTCAATATTTCTTTCATCAGAGCACAATAAAGAAGTCCCCCCTTTTGTATTTCATCAAGAACAAGAATAACTATATGTAAACAAATGACAACTGAAGTCAGAGAAATACTATTTCTCTTTGGCTTTAAAGTTGTATTTACCTTTTCTTAGATTCACAACAATGATTTCAGACAATAGAAAACTAAAAATTAACTTATCAAATTATTGTAAGAAAATATTGTACAGCCTAGTCATTTTAAAAATATAATCATATGCCTTATTGTCAAGGTGCAAAAGAAATACTTCGAAATTTGTTTGTTACTCATTTCAAATTTTTGACAAATGCGTGGCAAAACTCGTTAAGTATATGAACCTTTCTACACTCTATATTGAATGGTCTTTTTTAGGTGTGGGATTAGACATTTTTCATGATCTCTCTCCTTCTCCTAATTTAGTTAAGATTTGTTATTCAAATCAGACTTATTAACCAGTCTGAACCAGTCTACTGTTTTATCCTGCCTCCAGTAAAACTAATTAAACCAAAAGAAAGTGAAATGACAAACAAACAAATTTGGTCCACTGTCTTT